TGTGTGCCAGGTATTATGTTAAGTACTTTAAAAATATTATCTCATTTGATCCCTCACAACAATTCCTAGGTGGGTGCCGATAATTATCCCCATTATACAGCTGAGAAAACTGAGGCAGAGAGAATCATAATTGATTTACCTAGGGTAACAAAGCTGGTAAGAGTTTGAGGCCATATTTGAACTCAGATCTTCCTAACTCCAGGATAAACGTTATATCCATTGCAACACCTAGCTACCTCTAAAATAAAATCAGAAACAGTCTCTGCCCTTGAGGAGCTCACATTCTTATGGGAGAGATGATATGCAAACAACTATGTACATACAAGAAATGTACCCCATAAATGAGAGATAATCTCAATGAGAAGGCACAGAGGGAGGGGGCTGTGAAAAGCTTGAATGCAAAAGTTGGATTGCAAAAAGTTGAATGCAAAAAAAAAAAAAAAAGTTGGATGCAATCTAAGTCTTAAACGAAACCAAGAAAGTCATGAGGTACAGATGATGAAGCAGGGCATTCCAGGCATGGGAAATAAATAGCCAGTGAAAAGGCCTGGAGTCTCAGCTCTTTTATGAACTCTCAGGTTAGTTCTCTCAGCTCAGTTTTGTTCCGTTCTACTAATCCAATCAAGGTCTCTTCAGCAAGATGATTTCCCTCTACCTCATAGTAATAAATAAAAATTCATATTTCTGCTATCTTTACCATAACTACCTGTCACTAGAGGTAGTCAAACAGTTGCCACATGAGCACTGCCTGGGATATTGAAGAAAGGATTTCTGCACTGGATAGGAAGTTGGAATAGATGACCTCCAAATTACTGTCCATCTCTTAAGATTCTAATTATATGAAACCTAAATGAATCATACTTAAATGGAGTTCAGAGCATTCCAGATCCGGAAATATGTGTATGCTTAAACCATATTTAAAATCCTAGAGATATTAAGGGAAATGAGAATATAAATCAATTGTGAGCTCTGTCCAAGGTACGTTTAGAGCCTGGCTAGTCTGGATACCACAGTGGGAAAACAAATCTGTGACCTCGCCACTGAGATACACATTACATCTGCTATTTGACTCCCCCAGCTTCTCTACTTAAATATGCCCCTGGGAGACATACTAGTGATGCTATTTCCTCTTAGCCTCCTTCAGAATTGTGTAGCCATCACCTATCACTGGTAGATAGCTAATGAGTCCCTAGGGATTAGCCCAGGAAGGTGTACAACAGCAAATTGGCAAAAGTTTGTATTCCTCCTCCCCCAACAGGAACTGAGGGTTTCAGGTGATTAAAATGTGTCCATGGAGCTTTGATTTTTCCAAAATTTTAGTAATGTGGATGCTTTTCAGCCAAAGGGGATTAATTATTGGATGGACATCATTAAAATACTTGCTTTTCTCACCCAAAGAATCCCTCAAATCAAATCAAATTTAAAACCATGTGTTTGTATTTCCCATTTTTCTGTTTTTAATTTAACTTCTTAATTGTAAACTTTATACTTTTTGTCTTTTCAGAGCATTTATTAATTTGTAGGTTGTTTTTAGGGTTTTTTCAGTTGAATACTCAATTTGTTGTCTTTCTCACTTTTGTTTATCTATGTGTCCAAAGGGATACATTTCTCTCTAAGGACCACTTCAGCTATGTCACACTCACCTTATTTCATTATCATGTTCTTTAACATAATTATTTTTTATTTCTATTATTTATTCTTTGCCTTTTCTCAATCCTCATTCTTCTTGACCTCTCTGCAAGTTTTGATGTTGTAGCGAAGGGCAGCAGGAGGGTAAAGGGTCTTGTAATGGTGGCATATAAAGATCAGATAAAAGAAACTGGGGTTAGTTAATGTGGAGAAGAGAAGACCTAGGTGTGACACCAAAGCTGACTTCAGGTAT